CATTTATAGGTCGCGACCTGTCGATTTAGATCAGAAAATGCGATTTTTTAGATTTATGGGTTTTTGAATGACAAATTTTGATTCGATTTCAAAGATCTAATATGATCTGAGAAGAGGATATATAGTATATAGGCCTTTAAAATTGTATATCGATGGCTGAGTGGATCGACCTATCTCGGCTGCCAGTTCGAAAACGCTCTGTCTCAAAAAACTTTTCAAGAACGCCCTATTTCAGAATTTTATTGAAAAACACCTTGTCTCAAAATTCGGTTCAAAACCGCCATATCTCACTTCAAAATGTATTGAAAATATGCTGATATAGGGCGTTTTTGAATCGGCAACTGAGATAGGGCGTTTTTGAAACGAATTCTGAAATAGGGCGTTCTTGAAAAGTTTTTTGAGATAGAATGTTTTCGAACTGGCTGCCGAGATAGGTCGATCTTCCACTCAGCCATCGATATAATAATCTATTGTCGGACTTGGCTTGCTGGAATTTTTTATCGGGTAAAATAAAAAAGAACCATATTTCTCTTAATTTTTTAAATTTTGACCATCGATATTTTCCACAATTTCAAAATTTGTAGTACTATCTAAAACTCAATCTATTTTTAAATAAACTGATAGCGCATTTATTGCAATCGCATAGAAATTGTCGAAGTTAGGCGACTTTTCTTAAATACGCCCTTGAATTTATTTTGTGTATGTACCGGATTTTCAGATTTTTTGAGCAGTGTGGCTAAGGAATTTATCAATATTTATTCATGATATTGATATATACAATCGCTCTTTAGCAAAAAAATTGGTTTTTCAAGAAATTTTAGGAAAATAGGGGTGCCATCCCACTTATATGATATATGCGTATCTCACCGATGCGACTTGACCGTCTCGACCAAATTTCGTATACACATTGTGCTTAGGCTTCTTAAGCGCCGTATTGAAAAGTTTTGAAATCAGACAAAAACCATGGGCTCCACCAACGTAACGGTAATTTCAAAAAACTCAAAGCTAGATATATTTTAGGGGGAGTAGGTTTTGTCCGATTTCAAAAATATTCAAGACGGCACTTAAGGTGGCTAAGCATAATGTGTATATAAAATTTGGTCGAGATCGGTCAAGTAGTTTTTGAGATACACATATATGATATAAGTGGGAAAAAAAATTTTTTTGCTAAAGAGCGATTGTATATGTACGCTAATGTTACCAAGAGTTTCAAACTGGAAAAAGAAAAACGCGTGTGTTTCTGCTGATAGTCGCTCGATTTATTATTTAGCGAAAAAGAAAGAATTAGAACAAATGTCATTTACAATGGTATAGTTGTAAAGGTTGGCAGCAGTGCGTTTAACCCATATGTGCACTGGCAGATATGAATCCAACATACCGCCACCCTTGAACTACCTGGATAAGTTCAACAAGAAAGGAAATTACAATAAAGATTATTAATTTTAAAAGGGCAATTTTTATCTTAAATGGATATGTATTCGTAAGTAAGGCTCTACAAATTCTCCTCGGAGAACAAATCTCCTTTGGTAGGAAGCAGGCAAAGTCTCACGGTGGGCCGTACGAATTCTCCATCTGGCGTTCGCAGCGTGACCACTCTTACGAGACCATCGTCTCCAGGATGGCATTTCACCACTCTTGCAAGCGTCCCCTTTGTCGGCGGGGTAGGCTTGACAAAGACGGCAACAACATCTCCTTCCTCGATATTGCGGGACGGTCGGAACCACTTGGCGCGGCGTTGGAAGCCTACGAGATATTCATCTCTCCATCGGCGCCAGAAATGCTGTCTCATTGCGGAAATTAATTGCCATCGCTGATGAAGGTTTCCGCAGAACCCTTGATCCTCAGGTTCTGGGATGGACTTCAGGGGTTCGCCCACTATAAAGTGCCCCGGTGTGAGGACCTCCTAGTCGCTAACATTTGTTGAGTAGTCGCACAAAGGCCGAGAGTTCACGCAAGCTTCAATTTCAGTCAATAACGTATTGAACTCCTCGTATGACAGGAGAGTATCGCCTAATGTACGTTTCAGATGGTACTTAACACGCTTGATGCCAATCTCCCAGTATCCACCCATGTGGGGTGCGGCTGGGGGGTTAAAACGCCAATCAATGTTCAGATCGCTAAAAAATGACGGAAATCTGTCATCTGTCATGCACTGTTGTAAACTGTTGCGCAGATGCTTTTCGGCGCCCACAAAATTTGTGCCGTTGTCCGAGAACATGACCTTGCAAAAGCCTCTGCGATTTTAAAACCGTTTAAAAGCGTTGAGAAAAGCGGGCGTCGACAGGTCTCCCACGAACTCAAGATGCATTTCCCCAGTGCACATGCAAATGAAAGAACATATATACCCTTTGATGGATTTCGCCCCTCTTCCATGTGTAAATTTTTACACATAAGGGCCAGCGAAATCTACTGCACTGCGGGTAAAACAACGAGCGTATGTAGCCCTAGCTTCGGGTAAATTCCCCATTGATTGTTGAGCTGTATTACGGTTTAATAAGGTACATTTGACACATTTATGGTATATGTTTCGAATTAAACTGCGTGCACCAACAACCCAATAGCGCCGCTGTAGGACAACCTGCATAATCCGAGGACCAGCGTGTAGAGTAAATTTGTGAATATCTGCCACTATTAGCTTTGCCAGTGGAGAGCTCTTGGCCAATAATACAGGATGTTTTACGTCAGACGACACATTGGAGTCCTTCAGCCTGCCTCCAACACGAAGGATACCGCTTTTATCAACAAACGGCTGTAACCGCAAAAGACTGCTACGTCGTGGAAGTGGCTTTTTGGCGCTACAAAGATAAATTTCATTGGAAAAGTAGAACTTTTGAGTGTACTGTAATGAAGCGTTTTATTCGCCCCGCCGCTTCTTCTACAATGCTGGGGTATACTCGCCGTGTCCAGGGTTCGTTACAATAAATTTGTAGTTTCGGGGCTCTGGTAAATCGCACTTTATTAATTAAATTTTCTTAATTTCTATAAAGAACATATAACAAATAACACTTGGCAAAATTTGGTGGCGTCACTTGCAGTGGCTGGGTAACGGCTTCTTGTCCCGTTGGGGGCCCGTTAGGCGGTAGTGGCGTGGCTTCAGTTCTGGTGGGCAGCGCTCTGCTGACGCCGCTGAGTGGCGCGCTGCAAACGTCGGTAAGCGGTGTTCTGGCCGCGTCGGTATATAGCGCTCCTACAATGTGAGTTGCGCTCTGGTCGTGCCGGTGAGTGGCGCTTTGATAACGCCGATGAGTAGCGCTCTTGGACGCGCTGATGAGAGGCGCTCAGTTAACGCCGATTAGTAATGCTCTGGTGGCGCTCTTGGACGCGCAGATGAGAGGCGCTCGGTTAACGCCGATGAGTAATGCCCTTGTGAGTGGGGCTCTGCTGGCAACTGTAAGTAGCGCTCTTGTTGGCACGCTTGGCGTTGCGCTGTTGACGGCGACGAGTAGCGCTCTTGCGGACGCGCTTGGCGTTGCGCCGTTGACGGCGACGGGTAGCGCTCTTTCTGGCACCCTTGGCGTGCGCTGTTGACGGCGAACGAGCGGATGTCGTTCGTACGCGGCTTCGCGGTAGACAGTGGCGAGCGGTGACCGGAACCGTGCTTGATGTTGCGTGGTCGTGCAGCCACATGTTGCTGTGTGATGTTTCGTTGTCATGGTCACAAAGATGCTGTCGGGTGTTGCTACGAGTTGTGTTGCTTGACTGGCTGTTGTGCGGTGTCGTATTGCTTGTGTGGGCTAAATTTCTTGTTGAACATTTAGTCCTCACAGTACCTTATGAGTTTTAGCTCTGCAACTTGGATTTCTTTGCTGGTTAAGGGTGCCGTTTGCTTGCGAGGCATTGTTTGCGCGCAATTGCGAACGTTTTCGATGAAGCGCATCACATAGGCCGTAACTCTTTTCAGCTTCGAGAATGAGCATTTTTCGATAAGGGTCCCTTGCTGTGATGGTTCAGCTACATTTGCGGCAGCAGTTTTCTTACGCAACTCAAGCTGAGTGATGTGATCTTGTCGCTTGACCTCATATCGTACGTAACTAGATGACAACCACGATGGAGCGTGCCACCACAACTTATGTGACAGCAAACTCGATGGCGACATACCCCTGGAGGCACAGTCAGCATGATTGCTTTCGTATCTGACATGCGCCCAGCATTCGGAGGGTAGTATTTCCTGCAGTTCCGCCACGCGATTCGCCACGAATGTAGACCATCGGCTAGGGTGACTTTGTAGCCAAGCCAATGTCACAGTTGAATCTGTCCACCCGAACATGCGGCTTTCTGGCGAGCACACACAAGCGGTGATCTGCTTAATGAGTTTTGCTGCTAGGTGAGCAGCGCACAGCTCCAGTCGGGGTAAATTTGTAGTTTTCAGCGGAGCGACCTTCGACCTGTACTTAGTACGTGCATAGGCTACGGCCGCATACGCCTTCTCCGAAGCATCTGCAAATACATGAAATTCGGTGTGCATATTTGGGCTCATACCCAGCCAACGGTTTAATTTAAGGTTAGACAACAATCGAAGCTCGTCACGATGAAGGTACCAATCTTTCGCTATTTGATCGGAAACCGGTTCGTCCCAATCGACATCAGTGCGCCAAATTTGCTGAAACCAAATTCTCGCCTTTATAGTGCAAGGTGCGATTAGACCGAGCGGATCGAAAGTAGTGCTGGCATCCGACAGGAAACCTCTTTTGGTCAATATAGTAGGAGGTGTCTTAAGACTTACCGCATACGTCAAGTAATCGTGAGACGTGTTCCACGTTAACCCCAGCGTTTTCACTTCCCCCTTTTCAGCTAACAAATGATTTATCGGCGTTGTGGATGTTGGAATCTTATCCAAAAGCTGCTTGCAATTACTGGCCCACTTCCTCAGCTCAAATCCGCCTTCTAAGAGTAGATAGATGAGATACTTCACTTTGACGCAACACAAGCTCGTCCGCGGTGTGAGCTCCTGTTAGGAGGTCGTCCATATAGAAATCCCGTAGAATGATTTCAGCAGAGGACTGAAATTCTGCTATGTTATGCTTAGCAACTTGCTGCAACGCCTTCACAGCCAAGTGACTTGCAGCAGCTGTACCGTAAGTGAGACGAAGTATACGATAGTCTTTCAGTTCTTCGGTTGGCGCATCTCTCCACACGATTCTTTGGAAATCCACATGCTTCTCGTGAACATATACTTGGCGGTACATTTTCGCTATATCGGCGGTCATGGCATAACGATGCATACGGAAACGCAATAGAATGGGAAATAATTCTTGTTGTAATGGTGGGCCAACCATTAAAGCATCATTTAACGAAAAACCTGAGGAGGATTTCATCGATGCGTTGAACACAATTCTTAATTTTGTTGTTTCGCTTGTCTCTTTTAATACCGCGTGATGAGGCATGTAATAACAGGATGAGGGTCTATCACGGACGCACTCCATGTGACCCAACCGCAACAGCTCATGCATGAACTCCACATAGTGCCGACGTAGGTTTTCGTTTGCAGCTAATCGCTTCTCAAACCTATAAAAACTGCGTAATGCGACAGAACGGGTCTGGCCTATAAGCACAGAAGGTTTTAGAGGTAGCTGCACAATGAAACGCCCGTCTGCTGCACGTTGGTGTATTGAGTCGAAGAGATCTTCACAGAACTTTTCTTCGTTCGTGAGATGTTGCCGATGCGGGACCTGGTCAAGCTCCCAAACTTTGCTTAAAATCTTAACAAGATCTACATCGCAATGTAGGCTCGGGACCTCCGCGTGTGTAGTAGTTGTTGGATTTCTGGTTCGTCCAAAGAGAACCCATCCGAGTGCTGTCCGCTGAGCCAGGGGTGTACCAGGAGGGCCTTTGCGTAGATCAGTAGTCAGAAAATGCTCCATTTCGTCCATACCGATGAGTATGTCGATGGGACCTGGTGTGGCGAAGTGCGGATCTACCAGTACAAGTCCTTTGATGTGTTGCCAATCTGCGACGCTCACGCAGGTGGTAGGCAGATCGCTAGTTATCTTTGGCAAAACAATGGCGTTGATGACGTAAGACGGCTGTAATTGCTATGACGCGATAGTAAGGAGTACCTCACCCCTTGGCCTACCGATTGGCGTAGAGCCTATGCCTGTGATCAGGATAGCTGATGATCTTCTTGGAAGACGTAGTTGTTGTACGCAACGCTCTGTGACAAATGAAGCGTGCGACCCATTGTCGAAAAGTATGCGCATAGCGTGCCAGTGGCCGGCGTAGTCACGTACATTGGCTACTGCGGTAGCCAGTAATATGGCGTTGTCTGCTTCGGCGTAGTGTGATGTCATATTGCCACCCTGCGACCATGCTGTTGCTTGTTGAACCTCTCCGTTGGACGCCTGGTCTGTAGCAGGTGACAAGAATGCGGATGTGCCGCACGGTGGAAACTCTGTTAGCGGTAACGGTGCAGCTGGTGCACTATTACAATTGATGTCTGATCCATTAGACTCCCGCTTCCCTGCAGGAGTAGTGAGCTCAGCTGCACTTTGTGACGAAGCCAGCGCTGATGTCGGCAGCGCAGCAAGGGCGCTGTCGTGGCTTCGGTATAGCGCATTGACAGGATCAAGAGAACTAGTTGCAAGATGAGTATGCTTTTCGCTAGACACCCGGCTGGGTGCAGGTGCAGCGCATGATGCTGTATCAGCTGCCGCTGCTGATGTTTCGCAAGGGCTATTCGTGTTGTTGTAGCTTTCATGGAGTAGCGTGTGGTGCCGGCGACCACACCTCAAACAATTGGACGTGCTCTTGCAATTTGATGCTTTGTGATCCTGACGAAGACAGTTGAAACATGCTTCCCTTTGTTTGATGATTTGTGCTCGAGCAGCCGGGCTTAGCTCCTTGAAGCTGCTGCAGGCGTAGATTCTGTGCTGAGAAGAGCAGTACGTGCATGAATCGGCTCTTGAAGATTGCGTGTGGCGAGGCGAATGTCGATTGGATGAACTTGCCGCATGCAACACGGCTGCATTACTACCCCTTTTGCTGGTTGGTCCGCCACTACCAGGTGCTAGTACCTCTAGCGATCGGCACCGGCTCTCGAGGAATGTTTGCAAGTCGTTGAATGTAGGCAGCTTATCATTCGTTAATGACAACTCCCACGGTTTCCGGGTTTCATGTGTAAGTTTAGATAACAGATAATATACTACCCAATCATCCCAGGCCTCTACTGGCCGTTCAAGCGCTTGCAAAGCCCGTATGTTTTGCAACATTGAATTGAGAACG